GCTTCTAGTGGTAAAGCAAGTGCAACATCGTCCGGCGCTCAGCCTGGCTCTGGGTTACTTGCGGAGGTCACTGGAACGAGCGCAGATTCTCTTCACGCAGATGATGAGAACATTTCCGAATTTTTGAAGATGCTCGACTTGCGGAAGGATTTGTTGAGTCCTTCGAATTCCTCCAACCTCGATGCCGTTGCTCGCAGGACGACGGTCACAAGTGCAGCCCTAACTCGATTCCAACGTATGCGTGACTCAAATGCGGCTCTCTCAGACTCTATGTCATCGTCCCTGCTTCTGCAACGTTCATCCAATGCCTCGAGCAAGCAACTCTCAGGAGTGCCACCAATGGTAGCTGGAGCATCCGTTTCCACGGCCTCTTCACCTGGGAAGCCTATATCACCTCATACCCCACACACTCCCGCTATACCTTCTCGTCTAAGTTCAAACAGTATTGTAGATTACAATGATCCCGGGCACAGCGACCGAAGACTCCTTCATGGCGATCCCACCTCGCTGCCTGAGGATACCACGGGCGAAGAGGCATCCTTGGTGCATCGGCCTTCCACAGTTACTGCGATCGATATTCCGACATCTCCGCGCATCTTTCCTCCTACATACCGTCGCTCTAGCTCTGCCGCTCAGAACCGGCGTTCTCTCGTGGCTGATGAGGAGGAAATTTTTCCTTTCAATATGCGCAGTGTCAGTCTTGGTGCGGAGGAGCGAACCAATGTCAGTTTGAGCACGCTGCATCGGCGGCACGAATACCAGAATGCCGCCACGAATCCTGAACAACAACAGGAAAGTGAGCGTTCTCCATCTTCGTCGGACCAACGCCCGACTGCGCTCCCGAGCCCGGCCAAGCGTGAAACCCGCTCACAGAGGGATGCGATTGTCTCTGGGCAGACACCAGAATCGTCCTCGCCTGCTAATCACAACTTGTATCAACCGCGCTTAGGCCAGTTCCGTGGCCGAGGATCTTTTGGTGGCGCCCATTCCCTGAGCTCCGGCTCTAGCAGCTTAGCTCGTGGCGGTGGTATACCCACCTATCTCACTGAGCGCGACAATGACCGGGATGGCAACGCAAGCGGTAGCAATAGTGGTAACTCAACAACGGAAGAGCGACGAGGATCCGGGCGCCGTGTCAGTGCGGGCCGCAACTATCCACCACATTCGGCGCAAGTCGAAGAGGATGAGCCTTTGCTGTTTGCCATGAGTGATTTCGGGGCTTCTAGAAGAAGCTTTGAAGAGGGCAGACAAGGCAATCATGGTGCTGACCCCGGTGGTTCGCGACGCGGCAGTGGCAGACGTGGTGCCGGCCTCGCGGGCTTCCACGTTTGGTCTTGATAAAACCAGGAATAAACGCTCAACGCGAGTTGCCGAACTCTTCTTGTCCTGGAATACGTGAAAGCTCCCACTCCAAGCGCTCGTTCTACGATATAACCGGAATATTCTGAATATCAAGGACTTACTCCAATGGTCCATAAGCGCTGCGCGCTTCGATTGCATATTCAATTTCTACAACTCTCTTTCTTCCCTACCCCTCACCATCATCCGTGAAGATGATACTCCTTTTATCCTCCATCATCTTGATATGATTTCATGGATACGGCATCGCCGGATCGCATGCTCCAAGTTCTGGATTTAGTTTGGCGCATTGTTTCCTCTTTTAAGTAATGAGCCTTCGATTTCTCTTTATGCCACCCGAGTGAGCTACCTCTATAGACTGAGCAAGACAGCAATTGCAGCTTACTGAGGAAATAGAATGACTCTTTTTTTCTTTTTACTTCTCTTTTTAATTCCTTTAAAAGATTGATCTTTGCTTTCGAGGATGGTTTTCCTTTCCGTTTGGGCTTGCTACATTTCTTATCTCAGCCTTCAACTAGGCTTCTTATTCCCGTCGCAAGTTTGCTTTTGTCTCCTTTAGCATGTCCATATATACTTCTGTATTTTGAGCAACCTGGCTTCAGATTGGGTCTGATTTTTGACTAGGCGGGCCTGGAAACAGTTTTGGAGTAGGAGTTCAATCTGACGATGACACAGTTAAATGCAATGAAAGAAAGACTTTTCAATCAAACGGTTCTAAATAGAGTCTCTTAACATATGCACGAGAAGCCGCCCTAAACCCATGTATAACGCCCCTCGTACTCCTTTTGTTGGTGCTGGTATATGTACATGAAACTTCTTCAAAGCATGCGGATAAAACGTACCCTCTATAGAGCAGCTGATTGCAGTCAGTTGCAGAAGATGTGGGTTTAGAAGAATGGCAGATCCCTTGACCTAGTGCCGAAGACCCCCGAGGGGTCATACGGTGGTTTGGATGATGCCATTGACATAGTAGCCTATACAGCGACTATCTCTGTTGCCTAGCAAAGCCCAAGCTGGGCTGACCGCCAGAAGAACGTGCTGCTCGCGAGCACCTATAACGTCCGGCCCAGTACGAGGCGTGAAGGTACCAGCGAAACTTGGTGGAGAACCTCAGGTACGACCCTTCATCACATCCTTCGGAAGGTGTTACCAGAAGCGCTGCGGCGCTCCTTAGACTTGTAATCACTGCTTGCAGGTGTATGCGCAGGCGCCTTGTTCTGCTTCGACTTACCCTGCGGCATGAAGGTGAATTCTCTTTCTCCGACCACGCCCCCACGACGGGCAGGTTTGGTCTTCGTGTGCATATTCTGGGCGCGTGCAGCGAATGACCGCTCGCGGGTCGAATGACTCGTTATTGAGGAGGAAACGCGCATCTGGGGCGGGGGACGGTTAGTGCGCTTGTATGAGGATGTGGAGATCTTTCCGGAGCGTGGGGACCTGCTCCGGACAGGTCTTTGTGCTTCGCTTTCGGATGCGGAGTCGTCGTCGGAGCTGGAGCCGGGGACTTCGTCCACCTCTTCCTGTTCGACGGCGGTGAGACCGCGCTCCTTGCGTTTGTCGGGCTCGGGAGCGGTGCTTGGGTTAATGAGCTGGAATTCCCGTGAGGTTTCGTCGACGGCAAATTCCTCATCCTCGAACATCTTCGCGAAACGGCTGTCGCCCAAAAGACCGGCGGCCGGCTTCTCGGCTGCGGGTGCTTCAACCATGTCCTCGTCTCCGCCCTGTTTCAGAACGCGCTGCGCCTGGCGCCGCTCGTTCTTCTCTTCAATAGCCATGAGTTTCTCTGCCAGTCTCTTGTTGACCTTGACGGCAGCCTTCTTCTTGCCTCTAATGCGAGACTCCCGTTCCTTGTCGATCTTCTCCTTAACTCTCTTCGCACGCTCTTCCTCCCAGATGTACGGGTTCGTGATCAGACGAGCCTCCTCATACAAGCGTTGAGCGACGAAGTAACCATGCATATAAGGACGAAGAAGGTTGGTCCGGCCAATGAGGTGATCCAGGTTCAAGGTCTTGAGCTGAGGAACAGTCAAGAACTTGTAGTTGTCGTAAATAGCGCCTGTCTGGCCTGTACTGAAAGCATTAGGATCGTTAGGATCTTCGGCCATCTCCTCAACGAGGTTGTCCAGGAATGAGCACCACCTGGGAGCTGGGCCCAGCTGAGGAATGAAGAATGCATGCTGTTGTCGGCCTTCGTTGGCTGTCAAAAGCATTCCGCTGTCCTTGCACCAGGCGACTGAGTTGATATCGACGGCAGGCTCGACTGATGTCCAGGGCTTGCCATCACGGGGGTCCCAAATCTTGATAATCTTCTTGTCAGAAGAGAGAATCTTGGGCTCCATGGTCTGTTCACGTGTGAATGTTGAGGGCTGAAGGAACTTCAGCGTGTGGACGGGGAAGCCATATCCTTGATCCTTCTTGAGCAGGGGTACTGGGGACCGTAGATCGTACAAATGAATCAGACCATTCGACGAACCGGTTGCAAAGGTCAATCCCGAGCGATGGAACTCCAATGCCGTTATCTCAGATCGTGCGTCATCCGGACCGGTCTGATTAGGGGGTAATAGTACTCCTGCCCTGCCCTTGGCTCGTGGATCCCATAGTTCTACCGTTCCCAGCGAGGTACCGAAAGCGAGAAGGTTGTGGCTTTCCTCCGCGATAGCCCCCGTGTTCACTGCTCCTGTGTGAATACCTCCTTGTAACGTTCCACCGCCGGTCGATGTGAAATCGTCCCCACCAACATCTACCTCGAAACTCCGCATATACCGGCCCATTTCCAGATTGAGTCTGAAAACTTCTCCCATACCATCCTGATTAACACCAACAGCGGGCACGAGAGCCTCAGTCGACTGCCTGTCGTAAACCAAATCGCGACCATATCTGGGAAGCCTTGTCCGGTAATGGCAGCCAGAGGGTGTATGAAACTCGAGCGAACGATCGGATTGCAGATGGATCGACTTCGAGTAATCAGAGGATAGAAGAAGGAACGTCGTATTGAGCGCATCCGTATGCCGCGCCCAAGATAAGGACAGTTGGGGAAGGTAGTGAGTATGAATTTGAGGCTTGTAGGTTCCTTTACAATACCATAGTCAATTGCAAGACTCATTTAAAACAGCATAAGTTCACCAGGTAAAACTGACCTGTGCTCATCACCCATTCGCCATCTTCGCTAACTCGAATACATTGACTAGCTTCTTCGAACTCGAAATCCTGCAGCAGCTCGATGCGATTGGCATACTCGGGGTCATTTTTCAAACTGCGCTTTCGCCGTCTTGCCAGCCATTCGGGAAGTGGTCGAGCGGTATTTGACCCCGAAATGGTATACACTGGAACCTCGGATTGATTGGAGAGCTTCATATTTGCTCAGTAACTGCTCCAGCGATCAAGGGGACACTGAGGTTGCTGCGACCACCACAGCGAAAATTGTTGCTGCTCTCCGAAGATATCGCTCACTTAACACCGGGCACTGATAAAAGAAAAAAAGTTGGGTGGAGACGATCGATAGCTGCGCACGTGACATTGCGGATGTAGAACACACCTGATTGGTCAAGGCGGCCCGAGCCAAACTCCGTCGGGTCTCGAAGGCATCGGACGGAGCTGTCTGGATAAATGGGCCCTGTCTCGTTTGTCGATATTATTACAGCTGATGTATCATCATTATTAAGATTGATCATGAGATGATTTCGAAAGTCTTTGCTTGATAAGGGTACCTTTGCCTTTGATGCCATCAGTAGAATCTGTTTCCGAACCCTTTCCGGTACACTTATGCCTTGTGAAGCAATGGCATCAGAAAGCTGGTCTGTTTGCTGATTTCTGTGATAAGGTCCATGTGCTATGGGTTGCTCATTCATACATGATTTTCTACCCTAATCTCTCTGGAAATGATTCCAAACCCAGCAACGGATGTTTCCTTGGCCACTTATAAGAGAAGCCATTACGACTAAATCATGGATTTTCCCGGAGGGTCCATCACGAACATTCGCGTCATTGTAGGCAACATCTTGCAGTTGACGTATGGACGACTTGCTAACATAGCCCTGCAGGATGGGTTCTCCAATATATACTGGAGAATTTATACGGAAGAGCCCAACATCGCCACATTATCGGGCGATTCGCCAACTAATGGCTTCACTATACTTAGGCATCTAAGTCGCCTCAAGGACCTCGAACTTCGACTGAGGAACCTTGATTGCCTAGTATCAAGCTATCCTAGACGGCTTGGCCTATGGGTATTTTCTGCGACCCCAGATTTTGAGAGCCTAGGCCCTTTGTGCTCAAATGGGACCAGCGATGATCCAAGCAAGCTTTTCGTGGGTTCGGCTACCCTCAAAGGTTCGTTTTTGGTCCATTCCCTTCTCCTCGTTGCCCTTATGAGCCTTTATGCTGATCCCTTGGTAGTCTCGGCTTCCGGAAGTGTGACTTCGAAGGAGCTGGTGAAGAACCTCTCCTCGGAACCAGTCAACGCAGCCACGAATCCACAAGGCGTGCAAAGACGTCAGAATGGCCCCAACCCACCAAGACGAGCGGATGGCCATGGTAGCTCTGCTGCAATTTACGCATCTTTTATTTCCGCTGTCACTGGTGCATTAAGCCTACAGTTGATTCGATGCAACAATGCCATTCCCCTTGGGTCACGGACCTTGTTCACTGTCGTTGCCGAAGATTACTACGACAACCCCAGAGTTGATAATGATAACCCTGCTGCAGTCCCTTCACTTACTACCTTACAAATTCAGCTCACATCAGTGGGAAAGCTGACCGTATCGTTGCAAACGATTTCCCAACCTGGCATTTTACGACTCTGTGGGCCTTATGATACCTCTGTAGGGGTTCACAATGCCCACCTAGGGTGCGATATATGGCTATCTCCGAGCGGCTCAATTGCAAGACTGGTCGCAACCCATTCAGATTCCCAGAATGCTTCTTCTGGACACACAATGGCCAATCCTCCGAACACGTCAAAGCTCGAGGAATGGAAGGCACTCGTGGTAGAGTGGCTCGGGAATTATGGTTTGCCGCTGATCTCCTCGGAAGAAGGACCTTGGGTTGAAGTTGAAGTCTGGGAGCCCTTTTACTCAAGGTTAGCTGGGGAGACCTGGCGACAAAACGAGGAAGGCGCCTCTGTACTTCCTCTGAAGCGAATTCTATGGCCGGCCAGGTACTGCTTCACAAGAAAGAAACCAACATCTTTGGACCCGCTTCTCGGAATTAATGATACATTTCCCGTCATCGACGAACCATTGGGATTTGCAGAGAAATGGTTCGGGATGGCTCAACTGGATCATGAGGAGATAGACTCGAAGCCCGCGTCCCGGCCCGAACCAGAAACAAAAGACCAAGAAACTCCTCTATCCAGGCCGGATCTTCCAGAAAGCATAGAGAGCCTTTCCAGAGCTGCAGAGTACCCTGACCTTCAGGCTTCAAATCTGGTGTATCCGACCCCGCCAGACGGAGCTTTTCCTGTGGGACCCAATGCACCACCTGCCTCGGACGCCGCGGCTGAAGATCTAGATTCTAGACATCTCACGAATCGAGCCTTGGCCAAAGTAAAAACTAAGGAAGGGGCATCCGCCAGAGAGCGCTCCGATCATGATGTGCTTATGAGTTTTGGCCCATCTCCTGGACTCATTGTTGGATCCGGACTATATGACACTAATGATGATGATGATCTTTTCGGGGAGATAAACCAGAGGGACTTTGGATCCAAAGGCCTTACTGAGGCCGACTTCAGCTTCTTTGATGACCCTGAGTTTAACCATTTAAGCGGAGATGTCAACGAAATGGATGTTGGTGCTCAAGAAACACCTGAAATTGCTGTTGATGCCGAGGAGCCCAAACCACAACCTCTCCCTCTTGAACAACCCTTAACCGATAATCTTCTTCCCGGACAAAGAGACACAACAGAGCAGGCCGACACAAATCTTGCCCGCCCGGAAGAGGAGATATCAAATCCTCAGCCTGCAGATGTACCTTTGTCCGCCAGCATGCAAATATCTTCGCCTGTCAATGAAGATAACCAAACAATCAGCCCCCACTCAGTCCTATCGAGGTAAAGAAAACGCTTTTTGCTGGACCACACGAAGACAGTCAATTGTCTGTTAAAAATGGGCACTTGCAGGGCCATTACAACCCTGTTGCTTTCAAGGAGAACGTACTGGACTGGGATCAGAAGTATGGAGCAGAAGGCAAATTTAGGGTCACTGGCGCCGTGGTGAACAATTATCTAGTCCCCACTAGTACTACTAGTGATATCCCAACGATTGGCCTCCCCCGCCGCAATGCGCGAACAAAGAATCCTCAGGGCCCTGCAAGGGACAACGATAAACCCAGAAGTCCAGCAAGTGATTTGGACCAGCCTATGCCATCAGACTCGGATTTTGACTCGACTAGCGACACGAGCGATGACAGTGATGGGAACCTTTCGAACAGCGATGAGTCTGTTGCTACATTTGTTACTCGCAAAAGGAAGCGTGCTCGGTCTTATTCGGGGAGTTCGGTGAACCTACCGCAGGAGAAGCCTTTGGCGAGATCCGAACAGTCGATCGCTACCTCCAGGACCGACGATCTAGTTTTTTTGGGCAATTTCCTTTCCACTTTTTCGGATTGGTCTATGACAGGTTATTTCTCCGCGACTCAAAAGCAGCTGGCCCCTGTGCTCATTCGCAAGGATGCTCAAATCCAGGTTGCCCAGCTTCTCGTCGATCAAGTCACGCAGTCCTGCCTTTATCATAAGGTCGATGGCATCTTGGGCGTCTCAGAATTTGAGAGTAAAGCATACTCTCTGCGAACATTTCTCGAGGATACAGCCTTCATGGGTGAGATTGAGAGACTTGACTTGAATGGCTTCGTGTCACTGCAGGAGAACAGTGGCCTTTCCCCTCCGTCAACAGCTACTATGTCGCGTCAGTCATCTCAACGCAAGGAAAATGGAAAAAGTTCGATGTCGAAGCTCGCCCCGCCACATTTGCGTATTCGTCGCGGTAAAGATTACCTAGAAGTTCTGCCACCCGCAATTTCATTTTGGGAGACTTTCGGCTTGGAACCTGCCTACGGGTCAAAGGACATCTCCGCTTATTGTATCCACCCTCAGATTGCAGCTGAAGCGGCAAATGATTTTCTTGAGCGGCTAGGCCTGCTATATTCGAGCTGCAACCTTGGTCAGCATACGCGAGCTAGCAGGTCGACTGGCTTCGACCGTGGGATGTGTTCTTGGAACATCGGCGCACCTGGCGAATTTACTTATCACTATATAATGCAATCACTGAAGTCAATATGCGACAAGCTAGGTATGTGAAGAGCTAGACTGACATTGATTCACGACTAATCCTCCTTTAGTGACAGCTCTTTTGAAAAGTCCGCCGACGAAACATACTGTTGTCGTCTACATAATCAATCCATTCAGCCACGCTGCGGCTCTAGCGGACATTTGCTCCGTTTTCTGGGGCCTGTTTCAGAAATATACCGATGAAGTTGAAAAGCAGCAAGCTGGTCAAGCAAATGAACTCGCCTTGCAGATTGTCCCATTCCATTTCATCATGTCGACTGAATCTCTAGTCGTACCACCGCAAGCTCAATATTTAAGCTTGGCCCTAGAAGTCTATAGTCGGTGTCCACCGAAAAGTTTGCAGTCCTGTCTGCTTAACTGTGCTCCACCGATGCTGATCGCAGAGCCGGTCCCGAAGACTATTAATTTCAAGCTTGCGCCGGATAGATCATCTCCCCTTCAGGAAGCGAAAAGTCTTCATATTGCATGCTCAAAAAGCTATGATCAACGCTGGGTATCCGTATCGTGGACCGATAACACAGGTACTTTACAGCGAACCATGTCTTACTGCTTGCGCTTCCAGAACTCAAACGCCGCCAGAAATATTCTGGAAGTACGAAACGAGATCTGGGCTGCAACCAAAATCATCATGGAGAAGACTCAGGCGCGGTGGAAAATCATCATCGCCAACACGGAGCCTGTTGACCAGGATGAAGTCGATAGTAAGTTTCTGATCGTTGTCATAGCGCTCAAGCGGGCGTCGCTAATTTTCTTCAGCGTGGACGAGCCTGGTTGAGCAATATAACATGACGAAGCCGTTCCTTTCAGACTTGACTATTCTCTATGTGAATACCACGCCTGATCTCTACCTTGAACCTCCACCTCAGCCATTACCCATGAGTGTTTTCAACCCCCAGATCTCATCCACGCCTGTAGCGACACCTAATCCTAGTGGGAATGCTTTTTCGCCGGAACAATCTGGTAACGCACCGACTCCCCCAAGCGGTGGAAACGCCCCTACACCTACGGAAATTCCGCCTGACGCCGAGTCTGAGTGTCTGCTCACAGACATCTGCGACGAATCATGGGGCGTCATACTTTCACATTGTCTGAACAGTTCACCACATCTAACGGATTATCGTCCTGCGCTGGCGAGCGGGTATCTTCTTCGCCGTAAGGGTCCAACTGACGCCGACGGCGCATTTGCAATGAACGTGAACCTAATCTACTCGCAAAAACCTCCTTCTTCATATGAGAATCTTCTCAGAGAAATCATCGCTAGGTATCGCGACCTCGCCACTCTAGCACGAGCCAGAGGTACGCGAACTGTGCAACAAAATACCTTTCCATGGCATATTGCGACAGCGGTCAGGGCGCAGGAGCTATTGAGCTACATTCTGTGAGACTATTAATTGAATTCTCAGCGGCGCATCACGGTATATAAACGGCGTTCAGGTTTTGTGCTTTGGCTAGCCTTTTCTCTGTACATAATCGGTTCTCATGATGGCTCAGGCAAGGCGGGATATACCACTACGCGGGCATGATTCCCTTCTTTACTTGAATGATTTTCCTTTTATCCTAAATCTCTGCTTCTAGCACTTGAAACTTCGCTGTAAATATGTTTGATTCCCTTGCCTTGTTCTCCTACCCTCTGAAAGTGGATGCCCCCAAATAAAATTTTATTCTACGTTTATCCTCTTCGATCTCGTGTTCGAGTCTATTGAGCATCGTATTAGTTGTGTATTAATAACTCTGGGGACATACACTAAGAAGCTCTCTAGTGACTCGTTAACTATAAGACGAGCGCAAAAAAGAAGGTTGATAGGCCACGGCAAAACGCGTTTCAATATATATATTGTCTGGCTGTCATCGAAGGAATCCCTAACTCTTGCAGATACGCATTTAATCGTCATTTTCGGCAAATTTAAATGACTTGACCTACTTGCAGAGAACAAATTAAAAATCAGTGAAAACCGTGCTCCATTTGTTGGCTCATCTGAGTGCTCGACTCCTGAGTGACCGAGTCGTCGACCCAAGATAAACAGTGCCGATAAGGTCACCTGATCCTTATCGCATCACGGCCTATTTCGAAAATTTTGAGTTTCAAAGGTCCAAGCCAAAACAGTCGATTCGCGTGATTTGATCATTCTCACTCAAAGAAAGAACCCAATATCACAGGGTAGTGTCGCTCTTTCTGCCCAAACCGAATCACTCAAAAAAAAAAATCCAAATCCCCTCTCGAATCGCTTCCCCAGACTACAAGCACGATCACTCTTCCCCGCCGCACGCAATCCCACCATCAACAATCGAGAACGCAGTTCCCACAAACAAGGAACAATACAAACGCAGCTACAAGATCAATTTGCACTCACTACAACCCACAATGGCCCAACCAACGTCCTCATCGAACCTGAGCCAAGCCGAGCAGCCCACAACCGCCGCCTCATACCTCGATCTGGGCATCACCCTCACAATCAACAACTGGCCCGCGCTGACCATGGCCGTACAATCGAACTGGGGCGGCCCAACGTCAGCCGACAAGCGCGACTGGCTCTGCGGCGCGATATCCGACATGATCAATGAGCGGCCCGAGACAGATGCTCTGGATCTGGAGGACGTTCTGATCCAGGTGATGAACGATGAGTTTGATGTTGTGGTAGAAGATGACAGTGCGGCACCTGTTGCGGCGCAGATCATGGCGATCCGGGAGCAGACGGCAAGGGGGGAGTTTGGCTTTGTGCAGGAGCTGTGGGAGGCGTGGCAGAGGAAGGCTCAGCAGAAGGGGAATAATGTGGCGGCGGCGTTTAAGCGGATTGAGGCGGAGGATGATGAGGATACCGATGGGGAGGAGGATGAGGATGAGGATGAGGAGGACGAGGATGTCGATATGGGCGAGGCTCCTGCTCTGGTACGAGCGCCTAGGGAGAGGGTTGAGCCTGAAGTTGACGAGGACGGGTTTACTAAGGTTGTTGGGAAGAAGAGGAGGTGATTCACTTTGCGTTGATACGCTTGGTCTTTTGTAGTTTTGCAGTATAATGTCCCAGGATAGACATCGGGCATGAGTTGACATTACGACTTACGACAACTACCCAGCAGATGAGAGATGGCTGGAGATAATATGAGATTCCAGTGACTTTTATCATCTCCAATAGTCTCAGAAAGCAGTAAGTTCTATACGAAAATGACAAGAAGAAAGATTCATCATCATCAACCGAGGTAGGGCACCACAGGGATATCAACACCGAGCCTCCGCCTTCCGATCTCTTGGTTCGTGACCAAGAAAGGTTGTGCAGTACCCTACACTCGAAGCGATCTGGCTTGGGAAAGCCGGGGTATTCGAGATTTGTGCACTTAGTTCTCTTCGTTAAGGATGAGTTTGGTAATCATACCAATGGCAATGGTTTGGCCCTATCGTAAATGTTAGTGATGCGACCCAAAATATGGCACGGAGAAAACATCGCTTACCTGATCTCTCAGGGTGAAACGCCCCATTTGGTTGTAATCCTCGAAACGTTCAACACAGACGGCACCTGCGCTGCTGATGACCTCAAGACGAGCAATAATGGTCTGACCCTTGCTAGCGAATGGTGGTGGGCGCTTGCTCTTGCGTCCTGTGCCGGGCTCGCACTTATGCAGGAGTGCCGCGAACGTGACTTCTTCAACGGCCGAGTGGACGTGCATGACACAGTTGTAACCGGCGGAAAGGATGTTCTTGAGCTCAAGGATACGGATCTTAGCCTCAAAAGCGGAGACGCAGTGCACTAGTCGTTTGGGAGAGCAAAGCACGAATCCAGGGAGGAGATCTTCTTCTTCCACGCCTCTGAGACGCATACGGACTTGATCACCACAGGTTCCAGTGGCAATTTCGTCCTCAGTCTCACCATAGAGAGCAGCAATTTCGACCTTGGTGCGATTAGGCATCATGATGCAGGTAGCGTTCTTCTTGATAACACCAGCTTCGATACGACCCTCAACCATCGTTCCCATATCACGGTACTTCGTGCTCACGGGCATCATGAAGGGGGCGTTAATGTTACGTTCGGGAGTCTTCATTTCACCAAGATACTCCAGGAGAGATGGTCCATCGTACCATGGTGCAAGTTCCTTGGGGACACGATCCTTAATACCCGTAGTCTGCTGGGCGGAAATGGGCATGAAGGTAAGGTCGTCCTTCTTGTAACCGAGAGCCTCCAAGAACTTGGAGACCTTGACTGTACACTCATCGAAACGGGCCTTGCTCCATTCAACAGTCGGGTCATCCATCTTGTTGACGGCAACAATGAGCTTCTTGACACCAGTGTTTCGGGCCAGCAGAGCGTGCTCGCGAGTCTGACCACCCTTCTCGAAACCAGTTTCGTATTCACCCTTACGAGCAGAGATGACAAGCACACCGACATCGGCTTGGGAGGCACCACCAATCATGTGGTGGACGTAGGATTTGTGACCGGGAGCATCGAGAATGGAGAAGTGTCTCTCAACAGGACCGTCGGGAGACTGCACGGTGAGCTTGAAGTGGGCACGGCCGACCTCGACAGTCTTTCCCTTAGCTCGTTCTTCGTTGGTCAAATCGAGAGCCCATGAGAGATACCAGGTCTCTCGACCAGCCTCCTTTGCGTCCCTCTTGTACTTCTCCAGCGTCCGCTCATCGACGTTGCCAGTAACGTAGAGGATGGATCCGCCGAGGGTAGACTTTCCAGCATCGACGTGGCCAATGAATACAATGTTAACGTGCTCCTTCTTCTCGCCATAAATTTCCTTCAAGGTATCTTCGTCCACATCTGCCTGCTGCTCCAAGGCAACAGCATTGGCGTCGCGACCAGTCTTGCCGCCTTCACCGCGAGATGGGCTGGATCTGCCGGGGCTCGACCGTCCAGAAGCGGTAGGGGTAGGGGACGATTTGCCACTGACAGCTGCCTTCTGATCTGCCTTCTTTTCTGTCTTCTCAATAGCTTTGGAAGCCGTCACCTTGGCGGCAGCGTCGGCGGCGGCAGATCCCATAGTATCTCCTGGAGTCGTTGTGCCAGATGGGGTGTTCGACGCGGGAGAGGGAGTTCCAATCGAAAGGACCTTGGTCTTGGGGGCAGCAGAAGAGGTGCTAGCACCACCAATAGACAGAACTGGAGCGGCGGATGCGGTCGATGCGGGCTTAGGAGCGGTTTGGGCAGGCTGAGCAGGAGCTGTAGGTGCTTGAGTAGCTACCGGTGCCGCTTGACGAGGCGGTTGAGTGTATTGCTGCTGCTGCGGCTGCGGCTGCTGCTGTTGGTTGTAACCACCATACTGGTTGTTGTAGATCTGGTTATAGCCACCAGGTTGTTGGGCGTAGGCCCCATATTGACCAAAGCCTTGCTGCTGCTGGTCGTAGGCGGGGTAACCACCGTACTGGCCATACTGTGGGTATCCGCCGCCGTACTGCTGGTATGTTTGGCCGGGCACAAATGAAGTCGCACCAGGCTGGAAAGAGGCAGCCCCGGGTTGGAATGAGGGAGCTTGTGCCTGAGGGCGGTATTGCCCGCGGGCATTCAGGTTTACGCCCTCGGTCTGCTTCGAGAGCTCATCTTCCCAGGAATCGGGGGTCTGATTGGCCATCTTGGGATCTCGTGAGAAGGACAACCACAAGTAAGCTGGGGAGAACGAGGGATAGGTGAGGTTACAAAGGCGACGCCGTCGAAGTGAGGGGCGCTTTTTGGGTGTATTGATTTTGCACCCGATGACTCAGCATTTTCCCCCACCTAGGCGCCTGTCGCGTCTACTGCGTCTATTAGTTTGCAGTGTTTGCTCCGTTTGTTTGCGTCTTCTCTCCGCCATGGTGGGGTGTTCTCTTTCATAGCAATCTGCTGAGGAAAAATGATTCTTAGGCGAAATTACTTTGCTGAAGACTAGAAATTGACAGATATCTGACTTTCATGAAACATTCATGCGGTGGAGCCACGCTGGGTGGCTTGTTATCGATAAGCCGTTGCCTTCAGGGGCCACACATCCCGGCTGACATCTAGATCGGCTTGCTTTTAGTTGTGCTTCATAGCGAATAAGAAGTTGAGAGGGAGGCAAATCCAGCACGAGCCGCCTCCTTGGCTGTCAAGCAATATGGACGTCTTTCTGACCAGGGTATGCGCAACTTGTCCTTCGTGTGACAAAGTTCGATGTTGACATCATGAGTAGCTCACCCAGCAGGCAATGAACTATGCCATTCGGTATGAACTGAATCGTTCCTGAAGCGGACTGATAGAGCATGTCCTGACTGTAACTATTTTAGCTCAGGGATAGCCATAACTGCCAACTATGCGATACGACAATCCACTCTTCTGCTCAAGGTGAGCAGTAACATGCCCTGTGGCAGTCAATAGTATGGTCAAAACTCATGTAATTTCCCTTCAGAATGTCGAGAACAATGAAGAGAGAGAAGAGCTACTCGCTCTGCAGCAGAGGTTGCAAAGCAAAATTCAAGTCGGTCCTCTAATTCATGCGCTCGGTTCTTTGCACGGCATACTTATTTGGTGACCAGGTTATTTCGCCGGCCATTGATATGATTGAGTTGATGTATGCCAATTAATTGAATTGTGAGTATAGACAGCTAACCGTGGAGTCATTCTTAGCGCTGCAAGAGGCAACACGTCCTTAGAATCTGCAGTTTCGCTCACGAAAACACTTCGATTGGATATGCAAGCCCTCGGCCAGCGATTAGCAAACGCAGCTGCCTCCGAAGAGTTGCTACGAAAAGGCGCAAAGTGCCCTAGAGACCGCTCACGTAATGATGCAGAGATCAAGCTCATTGTCAGAGACATCAAGAGGCTTCTGACCCGAATTGAGGATGCAGTGCCGTTGATGAACTTGGCCATTACCACATCGGGGGCCAGACTATCAACCAATCTTCCAGCGACGGTGTCGCCATCCAGGTTGTTGCAAGCCAGTACCTTCCTTACTGCTGGTGACACTCAATATTGGATGTCTCCTGCGCAAGCTATCCAAATCGGCCCTACCTTTACTTTATCGATATACATGCTCTTCGCGGGTCACGTTCGGCCCCAGGATGAAGCGGGCATTCGAGAAACGACGTGGAAGGAGGTTATACACAAGGCACGTGTGAAGCTTCGGCGTGTGCCAATGGATCTTACCTCCAATACGTCAGCTCCGACTTGGCGTGCTAAACTTCCCGCTGAGGCGCGAATAGACGAATACCACTACCAAATGTTGATCATTGAAGATTTGGACGACGGAAGAGTGCATTCATATGATGAAGATGAGCCGCAGCCGGAGCCCTACGAAGGGATCCGCCTAGCTGGGATGCGCGAAATACTCCCGATCCACCAGATATCGAAGATCTTCTACGCGGATACGAGCAAAGTCTTAAATATCAATACAGAGGGCGAAGTCAACAACCCGGTGCTACTATTGAAGAGAGATATCAATGCTATTCCTCCACGGCGGATGCTTGAGCGTGACGAAGAAGATGGGATTTATGCTCAAGATGAACAAGATGAGGAGGAAACTGACGAAATCCAGGCCCAGCTGGATGCCCAGTTGAATGGATCGAATGCTAGAGATCCGTTGAATCAAAGCTACAACGAGAACTCTATCCCAGAACACTGGCGCTTGCCGAAAGATCTGGATCCTGAATGGATAGCATTCGAAGTCTATAACGAAGATGAGTCTTCGGACACTGAATCCGAAGCGGAGGCGCCAGATAGGGAGGAGTCCATAGATCCGCAGATGATGGCAAAGCTGTCTCTTGATGCTAAGGACGACAGATCCAGGCAAACAACCCCAACTTCTTCACAACCTGCCGCCACAACGACCGTCTCGAACCCCCTCTACAACAATATTCGAACCTCCCTCTCCCTCCTCGAGACACTTCTCCGCTTAATGTCATTACAACAGTTCCAGCAACAGTCCCACCTCTCTATCAGCGACGAACTTCTCAACTTTTTCCTCGAGGAATCATCCACTACTGGCGCTGGCGGTGACGAGCAACATCGCCAACGTCTCCGCGCAGACGCGAGACGCAGGGTTGGCTGGGATCCTTACGACGAAAGCCCTGTAAAACGAAGAGGCGAAGATTATCAGTATGGCTGGGCTTCCGACGGGCCTCCAGTCAGCTATTCTCGCGAGGGAAGCGAGTATCCATACACACCCACTGACCGGTACCCCGGATACCATTTGCGCTCCCGCGAAAATACACCAGAAACACCGCTGCAGTCCCGGCGAGCAGGTTCAACTAAGCCTGGTGCAAGGCGACAGAGTACAATGCGGAGCTCCTCGGCCCTCGCTGATGAGGCGTCAAGTAGAGGTTCCCCTCTTTCTAGACGATCGACTCCAGTAGAAGATACTGGGCGCGGGGCTTGAGGAAAATCACGGTTGATACTGATGAATATGAGGATGGTCATGTAAATGTAGCGAGTATAGAATTTTTAAAACGTGTGCTTAGAAGGGCAGTGAATTAGTCTTGTAGAATATATTCAGAGCTATGTACAATCCTTCCCGTACCAATGGTGAAGCATCGAGACGCACAGCTAACAGGGGAAACAATCAGAGTCACTGATATCGGACAGATAACCGCTAAGAGCTAATTGAAAGTAAAAAACATCATATAACACCAGGGAGTATCAAAGACAAACGCCAGAACTCCTCAAAGCACCTTGACAGTGGGCCCAAAAGAGCTGGAAAGCAGACGCAATTGAGACTAAGGGCTAAGAAATCAATGGAGAACATGACCAAGGCGATGTGTATCAGCGCTCATTCCCAGTCTTCGTCGCTGTCGTCGTCCTTGGCTGCCGTCGTTGGGCTCTTCTCCTTGGGGCTGCCAGGCGCACGACTCGTGTTGCCGCTGACAAGATCATAGCTGGATTCACTGTCTGGCTGAGACTGCTGGTCGTTCGAGCGCCGGGGTTCGTCAGGCTTGAGCAGCTTACTCTTGTCGACAGTGGGAATTTGGGTTGTATTATTGGTCTTGACCTGAGGAGTAGAAGGTGAATCGGTGTCGTCGTCGGAGTCGTCGTCCCAAGCGACCTCTTCCTCTTCGTCCACATTGGCGCCTGTCATAATTTTTTGTCAGAAATTTCCGGTAAAAAAGCAAGGTGGGCTGAATAGTGACAAACCTTTAAGAAGTTCCTTGCGCTTCTGCTCTTCGGTCTCAATCACCAGGCGGAGGAAATAGTACCGAGACCAGAAGGTTGCATAGTCGACCTGCTCAGGAACAAGCTTCTCCATGGCTGATCGCAGCTCGGGATACTTCTCCAAATCCACGGCAATGGCGTCGGTCTTGTTGTCTACGTTGAACTCCTCCTTGAACGTGGCCCACTTGTCACTGACAGGGTCCTTGGTGAAGCTCTCAAGGTTGGAATGGATCACATGCAGCTGCGCCTCAAATCGGGTCGCATGGATGACTCTCTTCCCCTCAGCATCTTTGCTCTCGAAAAGGATCTTGTTTGACGACTCCGCGTCCGGCGGCACAATACTGACCGCCTCCCGCAGCTTTTGGCCAATGGTCATACCAAAGCGCAGGATCGCTTCATCCGCAGCTTCCTCGGCCTTTTCAATCTCCTTCAGTCGTCTTGCAGCCTCTGCTTTGAACCGGGACAGGAAACCCTCGCTTGCGCCCGCGTCGCTGGCGCCCTCTTCCTGACTTTCTCCTGCTCGGGGCGCAGTAGGAGTCGGCGTCTCATCCTTACTTCTCTCCGACGATGCAGAAGTAAAAGCTGTACTTAGCGACAGGCCTCGCGTGCGTCCAACGATAGTCTCTTTCAAGTCCGAAAGGCCCTTGGCGGCCTCCTCGCTGGCCGCGGCGTACTCTTGCCTGGCTCCTTCATAGTAACTCTCGCCTTGTTTGCGGACATTATCCCATAGCCCACCAATCTTTATACCCCAGGGGCTCGCGGAAAAGGCGCGGAATGTCTCTTGCAGTTCGGTGTTGAGGTCGACGTTGGAGCGGTTGGTTTGGGAGTCGTCCTGTGAGCCTTCTTTTTTCGACGACTCATTGGAGGAGAAGATCTCCTCTTGAATATGATCGTATGCGATATCCATGGTTTTCTTGGCGAGTTGATATCGCCAATCAAATAGGCGATCCGTGCTGCTGAAATGAAATGGAAGAGGCCGTCCTCGATGACGGTTGCGGAGGAGTTACGGTAGCTGGTTGCTGGTGGATCTGCATGGCGCTTCCGTTCGGGCCTTCGGGGCGTACGACGGACCGAACAATCATCACCCCACTGAGGGTTCCACCATGAGACACTTGAGGATATGTATTACGTACGAAGAGAATCAAGAATTGAACAAAATATAGATATCATAAATGTATGTGTGCATTTCATAATTCATCGTTAAGTTATATACTATGTATCTGTCAAGCTGTAGGGTTCTCCAACGCTGTCCTGACTGCCCATCCAGAAGCCCGGCACAGGAACACTCTCCATGACACTGGAGGTGAGAAGCTGGCTGCGGGACAGCATTCCCCTAGGACGAGAATCTTCGTCTGGATCAGCCTGCCTTTTGAGGCGATCCACTATTTGCGAAGACTCCACCTGCACCACACTCTGAGCACGGTTTTGAGGGAGTATAGCATCACCTGCACTCGCGTAGTCTCCGTGCCGCGTGACGGGCGAGGATTCCGGGATCATCTCCGTCGAATACCTGCCGGGGTCTTGAGTTTGGCTTTGAGTCTGCGTCTGCAAGGAGGGATCAGATAATGCCTGAACCTTGCGAGCGGATGACTTGGTACACAATGGCTCGGTCATGGTTTGCTGAATGCTGGATTCCTGTGGGAAAAGCTCCGCCAGCTTCTGAGTGCTCAGCGTAGGTATGGGTTCTAGTGGGAATTGAGTGGCAGGCTGTCGCCTTTGATATAATATTGATGCCTCGGACGACAGATTGGTTTCAGATTGTAAAGGCCCAGGATCATCCTCCAAGCCAGGATATGATATAGGTGGAGGGAGGTCTTGGGAGTCACTGAGTGGTGATTTGTCTTCGTCTTCGTCTTCGTCGTCTTCATTCTCAAATAGCATCGCATTCGGCTCGTCATTCGACCCAGACACTATTGGCCCATCATCACTGTAGTCCGTTTCGGCGTCCGTTTCATAAACTACTGTTCTCTCCGTACTCGGTGGAGGTTTGTCAGGTTCCGGTTTCTCCTCCAACTCGGATGCGGATGCGGATGGTCCCTTTGCTGAATTTGACTGTGTCTCTTCGACATCAAGATTCGTTTCCTTATCAACTCCCAGCTCGGACGGCGATTCAAAATCGGGCATCATGATCGGCGGCAATTGATCTTCAGATATTGATAGCTGTGTGGCGATTGCATTTGTCTGGTTCAAACTAGGTGATTCGTTGATGGTAGAGGTGGGCTTAGTTGAAAAGTCAAGGTTGGGAGGTGATCGAGTAGCGTTTCGAAACTGTGATGATGAAATTATCGCAATTCCAGGACTTTCGGGTGACTGAGAGGAAGGTATTTCAGATTTCCATAGTTTTCGTGGCGTCTTCGGGCTTTCTTTCAAGACTTTCTTTTCCGTTGTCGAAGTCCTGGACAAGACTTCTTTCATGTCCTCCTCAGCCTCCAGCTTCCTCTTCTTGCTTGAGCTTAAGGACTCTTGGGCGGTGGCCACCACAGTGGGCGCAGACTCAAGCCCACAAGGCAGTTTTCCTTCGACTCTCTGGCTATCATTCTTCTTCGGAGTGATATAGGTGTACTCCAGCTTGACTTCATCATCAGGCTCGATCTTCAGGTAACGCCGCACGTAATCCATCTGAGTGAGTGTCTTGTCCTTTTGCTGCTTCTCCGTCTTCTTCTTGTTGCCCTTGACACTTTCGATACTCTTCCTTCCGGGTCGCTTTTCAGCTGAGCCAGCTTGACCTGTACTCCTTCTCAGCACCGATGCATTGCGCGCAGCATCTGGTCTTCGTTTGGCGTCTCCGGTACGCCGTGCCCGTATATATGAGGTTGGTTGATAACTAGCATCGTCATCGGAATTGTCATCTATCTCGATCACCTGGCGACTATCCGTGTTATTATCTTGAGCGGCTTTATCGATGTAATCGAGATTGTCATCATCATCGGATTCGGCGTTTTGTGTCCTCGGCGTCACAAAGTCAATCTGTGTAAGTGTAGGTTGATCCCTGGAAAGCAAGTTGCCTTTCCAAGGCTTAGACGCTGAGGCTGAGGATGTTGGAGTCCCACTTTGCTTTTTTGATGTTGCTGTCCCTCTTCGCGCACTAGAGGTGGTGGAAGAACTTGATACAGGAGGCTTGTTCGGCGTTCGAAATTGTTCCTGGGCAGATTTTGCGTTTGTACTTGGCCTGTCACCTTGTCTCATCGCAAATCGAAGAAGCTATGTCAGTGTTTAAGGAACTAATTCAACGAAATAAAACCATAAGTCCGGAGTAGAGTTGCGGCTGCGGATGGGTCATAATGCATGAAGCTTTCTTATCGGGCGGTTCGCGTCGTTAACGCGTCTGATCTCTATGACATCGATAGTGGTCTGTGCACACATATATCCAGTTCTAGGCAGCATTCGCGTAGGTAACAATAATGTTAACTCATACAATCTGTCTGCTTTACAGTAATAACAGGGTATCTATTGACAAACTGCCTATACATGGATGTACACATAATCATAATTAATGATCCGAAATCAGAGGAGCTCATACTAGCCACTCCGGAATCGCATCCTCATCTTCGGGATCATGCGACAACAATGATCCATTGTCATCAACTCCGGATGTTTCGTCCATTTCCTCTGGCGTGGGAGTTCGTGACTGGGTTTGCGATGCTGCCCGCGACAGTACCTCAACACTAGTTGATTTAGAGCCGCCTGTTGTTGAAGAGTCGACCATGATGGGAGCTTCCGAAGAGCCTGCAGGACGAGTCTCCCCAGAGCTCTTCACACTCTCAGCTTGTGCCGCTGGCGCAAGCTCCACGATCTCAGGAGCTTGTTTGGGCGGGCGTTGGGGTTGCCGTTGGGAAGTGTCGTTCTCATTCCTGTTTGATTTCTTATTAGGAACGACGATAAGGCTATAACGAGGACGTCTTGATGCCTTGGGAATGTCCATTTCGGAAGGATTTGCAGAGATTGCTTCTATGTGGCTGGCACTCTCGTCAGATTTGAGACCACCACCGAGCGCTTCATTCCCTAGGGCTTCAATATTCGTCGAAGCTTCATTATATGTATGACCTCGAGGCTCTTGTCCGGTTGATCGTTGATAAGTCGAAAATACTCCGTCGGCCATTCCCTGCTCTGGTTCAGGAATAAATCCGCCACCGGATTCCTCTGGATCATCGTGGTTTTCAGAGCTTTCGACAGCGCTCTCTTCTCCTTCAATGGCATAGCTTTTGACCCTTTCTGCAATTCGCAGCTTCAGGAGAAAATGCTTCCACAACCGTAATGTCTCTCTCGACTTTTCCTCGGACTCAGCTTGCCTTCTTTCGTCTTCAAGATGATCTAAGACCTCTTCAAGCGCTTCCTGACACTCGCTGGCAACAACAACCCCTTGAAAAACAGCAGTTCCATGTCGGCCTTTGAAATCAAAGCCCGTAACTGCGTCTGCATAATCAATACCAAGGACCCTGGCTGCGTGGGCAGCTTGAGGATGCTTTATGTGTACCCCTCCAGGAGGAACCATACTCGGCACATATACATCCAGGTTCCCATAAGTGTTTTTAGGTACCTTGCCCTGCACAACAGGTGGCGGCGTATAAACCTCCGTTTGAAAATATGCATACAGAGGAACCTCCGTGCCACTTTTATTGTCGTGCTCGTCTTCGCTGAAACCAACATCCTTGCTTCTGTTGACTCGGATACGTTTCAAAGGTTGTTCGCCGATTTTGATGTCTCGTCCCAAGCGATACCATTTGTCCGCACTGCGGACGACATGAACATCGCTACGGCGGTACACCGGCACCAACACCTGATCTTTTGATCCTGACTTCCCAAGACTAACTTGACCAATGACGCGTTTGGGGAAAACGACTTCATTCCGTCGAAGCTGCCGCTCAATCGCGTATATCGGGTGGTCCTTAAAGTCTTGCACATTTCGCGGCATAGGCTCGGCAGCAGTTTTCGCTGTCAGCTCGCTAATTTCCACCTCGTCTCTGTCCTCCAAGAATGGCTTTTCGTAAAAACGTATCGTTCTTGCCCACCATCTCTCTCCATCTTTAGTAGACTCAACACGCATTTTGCGTGTTTTTGCATTGAATGCTTTTGCATAGCGCTTGGTAACGTCTCTTGCGGACGCATCCTCTTCAAACCCGACTACGTAACTCATGCAGTTTGATGGGTCACTGAAGGGCGGTTCAAACTTGGATGGTTTTGCAATCGATTTGGTAACCAATGGGTCGACGGGACCCATTTCTGGACAGCTTCGTTGAATGCTTCAACCCAAAATACCGGGTAAGGCGAGGCTCGAGCGGTGAATCCCCGATCTTTGAGAAGTCAGTAAGCAGACAAGCGGAATAGTCGTAGACACGTTACCTGGAATAGAGGTCTTCTGTGAACGCGCTGGAGTGAATTGTGGTCGTCCAAGTCTTCGAGATCTTGACGCCGGAGTCGGCGAGAGGCCAGACATCTGTTGATCATCTGGTGACGTTTCATGGTCATCGGATGATATAACAATGTACTGTGAATCTCGCTTGTTCGGCGTCATGCTCTTCGTCGTCCCAGAAAAGGGCAAAGGCTGGAGTGAGCAGACCAGCCTCGCTTCAACGGCTGCAGAGCGTAGAAGAGCACAGAACAACTGAGCACCAAAGTCACGAGAGCCCTGCATCGTCCTAGCCTGCTTGCAAAAGTCTTCCTTTGACAGAAAGACTTCCGCGTCGAACATAATAGACTCCTACAGGGATGTGAGGAGGGTGCCTACAGCGTGGATCTTTGAACACATACCACTTTTTGCTTCAACTTTTCGGGATCATCTACCCAATGAGCTCGCTTCAAGCCCGGCCTAGTCACTCTGAACCTCCTGCTAAAAGCATCACTGGCTTGATTCAGACCCTCGACAAAGGTCGTAGACCGGCTGTACTGTGGTTTATCCTCTGGTGGATTTAGCATGGCTATCACTTGCTTGGGTAACATCTTCTTGAGAAAGCTCTAAATTGAATGTTAAAATCGAGCGGACCGAGGAGAGGGTGCTACCATGCTAGGCATTTGGTTGCGTACCTGTAGTTCATCGTCATTACACCATAGATTCCGTATCTGCACATGGCGTAGGAGACAGAGCACATGGACTTTGTGTATATCTAATCGGAGCTTTTTCTCGACAGCAGTGAGTGGCTTTGCCCGTGATACTACTTTCCGTCTCTTTCCTTCATGACTGTCGAGAGTGATCTGGAGTGGTTCATTATCTACCCCTGTCACCGGAGCTATTTGAGTCGACTGAGCTGGGGCTTGTTGAAGGTCAACTTCTTCCCATTCCATATCGGATTCTTCTGACGTGGGCTCGTCATAGACGGTCTGTACCTGCCGGCTGGCTTGGCCTTGATCTTCCATTGACAGTGGTACTTGGGGTACAGAAACATCATTAGAAGTTGTAGCTCTCTGAGCTCCAACCTTCCGTCTCTTGATAGGGCGATCCGCTTCCGAAACATCTGGGTTCCGCAATTCCGCTTCAGCGAGCATCTTCTGGTAGACTTCAGGTATTTCGTCTTCTTCCTCGTGTGCCTTGGGTTGACCGCCAGAGACTCTGCCCCTGGCCGAGCGGCCACGAGGTGCACGGCGCATGATGCCGGAATTTTTTGAGCGGCAGCATGAAGCAATACCTATATCTGGCCGCGAAGATCTATAGTGCGGCCAGAGTCCACATATACTGTGTTACAGCGCTTCTTGGGCGACTAGCTTCGTTCGACCCATTACCTAGCATCACCCCTCCGTGACCATAATTGAAAGCATATAGGTTTGATAGTGCTAGAGCGAGTTCCATGGCGGAGTCAGACGCGGGATGCGTCATATCGGAATATTATTGATCCATCCCGAATCCTTGAATCTCCAAATCAGGCAATATATATCTATTTCGCAACTACTAATCTTTGAGTTTTGTAATCATAGATTTTTAATATAGAGCCACTGAGGTTCGCTTCACTTGACAGGTCAGAAAGTTCTCCCGGTTGCGAAACTCCAACGCGATTCCATAACTGCTAGATAGTGACAAGCAGAAGACGATGCAACTTGCGGGAAAGACGCTTCGCGATATGCCAGTACCTGTTCATCATGGATGATCTCGGCACCATGGATCCCAGCCGAAGGGCAGCCGTGCGGAGTCCTATTGGCTTGTAGACCAGCTTCCAGAGGTCACAGCCTAATATGTAGTGTCCTCGGAGAAAAGCGAGCTCTGAGTTCAAGATTGCGTCACTCAGGCTGTCGTGCCACATCACTTCATTCGTCGAGAAATCCAACCTCTTGCTATCTCATGTTGCTTTGATATCTTTCATTCCGACCTCATGGCAGTAAGAGTGTCTACTCTTCACCAGTCGTGCCCGTTTAGCCACCACTTAGCAACTCAGTTTCTCTAGATTCAATATTAATTCGCCGCCATGCTTACAAGGAACTCGGGGCTCAAAAAGTCATTACCTTGGGTTAGCTCGACGCTCTTCTGCGCCAAACGTCGCTTTCTGGCACAGGTTGCCAATGTGCGGAACGTACCTACTGTAAGCGGCACCTTGTACTGAAGTCAATTCCGATTCAATCGTTTGAACGAGGCGAGCGCTAAAGCTTATTAAAGGAAGATGGCAAGCCCTTTGACGTTCCTATACCAGAAGACAGCTTCGAGACGTATCATTTCGACCATCCCCCATACACAGTAGGAACCACAAAAAGGCAGCTCAAGAACATGTACCAAGACATGCTTACGATAAGGTGAAATATGTCTTTAGGACTAGTGATGTTCTGTAGCTGACCTATTCACAGACGATTGGAATTAGCTGCCGACGCTCTTTACAAACAAAAGAAGATTCGTGGATTTTGTCATTTATCAACTGGCCAAGAGGCAGTCGCTGTCGGCATTGAATATGGCATCAGCAAACAAGACAAATTAATCACTGCATACCGCTCTCACGGATTCACATTTATGCGAGGAGGGAGTATCAAGTCTATTGTTGGCGAACTACTTGGACGACAGGATGGCATATCCCACGGCAAAGGAGGCTCTATGCACATGTTCTGTGAGGGCTTCTTTGGGGTAATGGCATCGTGGGAGCTCATGTACCAGTCGGGGCTGGAATAGCCTTTGCTCAGCAGTACAATGACAGGGATAATGTCACGATTGATGTGTATGGTGACGGAGCAGCAAACCAAGGTCAAGTCCATGAGGCTTTCAACATGGCGAAATTGTGGAACCTGCCTATTTTGTTCGGCTGCGAGAGTCAGTTCTTCTAGACCTCTGGTGCCTAAGCCGCCGTGCTCGACCCGTCTTTTGCTAACAGGTATCTAGATAATAAGTACGGCATGGGGACCTCTACTGAAAGAGCGTCTGCAATGACTGATTATTACAAACGTGGTTTATATATCCCTGGTTTAAGAGTGAACGGCATGGACGTCCTGGCAGTAATGGCAGCAGTAAAACACGGCAGAGAGTTTGTTAGAGCTGGAAACGGGCCCTTGGTCTATGAATATGTGACATATAGATACGCCGGGCACTCAATGAGTGATCCTGGAGTCGCATACCGGACTCGCGAAGAGTTAAAGGCGGAGCGTGCCAGTGACCCAGTTTCGAACTTTCGCGGGCAGCTGATAGATTGGGGCGTCATCACGGAGGACGAAGCAAAAGCAATTGATAAGAATGTGAGAGAAAAGGTAAATCATGAGGTGGCAGAAGCCGAGAAGATGCCGGAACCTGAGCCGAGCCTGGATGTTTTGTTTCAAGATATTTATGTCCGTGGGAGTGAGCCTGACCAGTACCGAGGACGTACCGTGGACGAGACGCGCTATTAGGTTAGACGCATGCGAATCAGAAGATGGCTCTCACCTTCGAAAGCGAGCGACCCAAGGATGCTGTTGCTGATATCGAACCACCGCGTAAAGTCAAATCTGCTCAAGACGTAATGGATGCTTCTTCTTCAGACGTCACCATGATCTGTGTTGGGGTCCATTCTGACCTTATAAGCCGCGATTCAAATCCATATCAACCTCAAAACACCTTCACACTCTTTCAGGAGAATCAGAGTCCAAACAGTATATCTCAGAGTAATGTCGTTCAACTATCCAGCTCTCGCGACTCCAGCACGATGCACTGCCGACTTCTCTCTGGTTCCGGTCGGTGTAGTCTAAGCCCCATTCTCATCCAGCTCCTCAACTGATCCTCCACTATAGATTGGAACTCAGAACGCTTCGTTCTCTCAGCAGATCGCGGATATCCAGCGGTTGTTGACGGAGGCCAGTCAGCAGACAGGTCTGAAGTACCAGATGAATCCCACGGGAACAACAATTGGTATGTATCAGTTTTGTTTCAGCTTATAAACTCGCAGCTAAAAGACCTGATTCGCAGAGGGGTCGTGGGATCAAGTCGTTCAGGTGATTGGTTTCGCCCACACGTTGATTCATCAGGAAGGCGTCCCTAGGATTCAGACGGATATTCGTATCTCGACCAGGTATGTTTATTCGCATTTCAGAGTCGCATACACGGACTAGGATGGCTCATTGTTTTGTAGGACGGATAAGGTCCAGCCGATGGAGGGTAATCTTGTATCTGTGCAGAGAATCCTGTCAGCTTGACCCATGGAAACGCGTTGGAGGGCCAATGGATAGTTGACAAGCCGTGGTAGCGTACCACAGTACTGGATTGGAATCTTCCTTCAATCAATAACTAGGCATCTTATTTTGGTGAAGTGAATCAATGGCAGTTAATGAACGCGTTTTGTCCATCACAGGACACGTATATGCTCTTAGTTGAAGGTACTCGTCAGGTGTTGACCGTCGATCTGGTGCCTAGGAGGTAATGAGCTGAAGCCGAGACCGATGGCACTTTGCCCTTTGGAGCCATCCTCTAGAGAGCAGGTCAAGGTAACAGGAAACATATCGGTTTGTTGGGGGTTTGGGACCGAGGATCTTCTGGCATTGGGTTAGTACTAAATAGGATCAGATAGTCTCAAACAGTCAATTAGTGATGGGAATGCTGAACAATGGGGCTCATTCATTAGACCTGCCCTTCCTTCAGGCACACAATACTCAAGGTAGGGGACTGTTCACAGTAAACTCCAAGCTTCCAGGTAGCAGATGGAATCCTGAATGCGTTACTCAGTTTCGGAAGATCAACAACAGCAGCCTGACGCTATGACTACCTTCAGTGTTTTTGAACATGCCCTGTCTTGTGGCCTATAGGGTCTTGCAGACTTAACCAATTCTATCTGTCTGTCACTGGCAGCTGCTTGAGTATTTGCAATGGCCTGAGCTGGCTCCTTTCCTTCGCAAATAACTCCTTCATAAGTTTATAACCATTACATCCAATACTGTCGACATATAGAACCCAGTCAGTGTCCCTAACAACTCTGTGTGTGTCCCCATACGAGTCCAATTAGAGACAGCATGTCGAACCTCTAGATTCGCATGGCTTGCCAATTTCACCCACAAGAAAGATCTTCCTTGAGGAGAGACATTTGGTATTTAAGTCTCGCCCAGCAGTGTGACAAGTCGGGTCCACCGTGGGACTCGGCTTTTCCTGTTTTGGACTTTCCAAGTTCTCCTCCCTTCGGTATCCTATCGTCGATGGAGGGCCAAGCGAGAGGGTGGACTTCTACTTCTTGAGAGTCTCTGTGTGCCTGGCGTCGTCTCCCCTTCAAAAGGTGGTACAAGCCACGGCTGTGGGTACGATATAGCACAGTCGCATGCAACCCAGACGATTCCTCATGACTCACGTGCACCTGGGATTCCGCATCTAAAGAAGAACGGATGGAAATCCTGACAGAGATCCTCTGTGTGAGGACTTCCAAGTTAATAATCAGATAATCACTGGGCGGCTCAGAACAGTTTACATGAAACAGTGTGCTCTATCCTGCTTCTACACAAACCTGGGCGCATGGCAGTATGCTCCGACCGATCTTGTGTAAGCCACCAGTTTGGACCACTGGCGGTTTACAATGTCGGTAATACCCAAAAAAACATCATTATGTACCTTAGCAATGAAATACCATCGTGTGGAAGTTATGATTTCCAGCTCTTGCCGCAGGGGATCATTGAGGACCCATTTCAGCAGTGGTCCTCGCTCTACTTAAGGGTAAATGTCCTGCATGCGATCAGACTAGCGATCTGGAGAGACATAGCGTTTTCAACCCGGAGAATAATTGTTGGCATGATCTGGGACGGTAGAAGAATTGAGTGATCAATGTTATGGACTAATGTATGGCGAAAAAGCCGTTGAGTCGACCCGACCCCAATGGGTCGATTGAAGGATTTTAAGGCAGCAAGATCTTGAGCATGCCAACTTTAGCCCATCAAGGCCCAGAAGGACCAGGAAAGAGCGAGATTGACGACTGCACTGATGCCCAGGTAAAGTTCAGCGGAGGCAGAGGCTAGACGGGGGTCTCCTGGGAAATCCCAAACCCGAATGTGTGTAATAGCTGGTGCTACCTTGCTAGCCATCTACGTACTCGGGACTAGTCCGATTTCACAGAGGTAATCATTCGTATCTACACAGTAAATTAAGTACTGCCAGCTGAGTAGGTAGCGAGGCGTCTCGTCCATCGCAGAAGAGATCCATTCTCGTTCAGTTCTCACTTCCTTTTTTCCAGCCACCATCCTTGTCCCAGTACGGTAGCCTTGCAACTTGCAGTGGTCTCCCTGGGTAACCTGTCACCGTTGACTACCTAGGCTAGGATCATAGTATGACCACCTGGCCGGTGGCCAGTGGATCACACCAGTACGTTAGTCTTCTGATCAATGGACGGGGTTGCCGTTTCGGCGCGACGGCAATGAGAATACCAGTAGCAACCGAAGAGGACAAAAATACTTGACTTCATTCCATGCTGATCAAGAAACGCCATTGGACTGACTCATTCTCAGCGGTACATCCTTCAGAATTTGAAGGCCATCACTATCTGAACCTGGATATGCCTAATAATACTTGAGCCCCATCAGATTAACTATCTGCGTACTCTCTTTGTCGACCGTAGTAGATACTACAGTCCATACGGAGTACACAAATTTGGATGAACTTTGTGGGTCTGACAACGGAGCCAGTTGAGCCAGGCCGTCTCATCGATGCAAGCCAATGAAAGGAAACTAAGATGCAGCTGCCCGTTTTCGCTTCTTTGAGAAAGAGACGAACGAGGTAGATACTTCTTACCACTGTAAGACTGGCCGTACATACCACCCTGAGCAAACCTTCGAAACCAGGCCAACGATAAGAATACGAATACTATACACTGCTTCAAACTCTAAAGGCCCAGTCCCAGTATGATCGGAGATAAATGCCCATTTGACGAAATATGTCAGTACTGGTCACGACTTGGGGAACAAAACCTCTGTGGCATCTCACCCGCTCATCAACCGCATCTTTGTGGCGTAGTTCAATCTGCTCCTACAAGGGGATCATAGAGTAAGCATCATCAGTGGCATGCTTGTCAAGCGAAGCAGCTTTCTGTCTTAATTTTTCCTAATGATATGCAATGTTTTGCAGATACCGTCACTGTAGTGTGAGACTCATGTCATTAATTTCAGGCCCCGGGATCCTGTAACCCGTAGTATTAATTGGTGTCGATCTAGAATTTTGGAAAGAACAAAGACACATATAGATGTGCACTTACCTGCGGGGACGATGCGGCGATCAGAAGTACTTACGGAGTACGGAGTACTTTCGAGTCCCTTCCCTGGATCCTGAGTCCTGAACCCACGTGTTAGGATGAGAATGGTTGCCTTTCCCCTCCGATATAGATTTTCTCATAGTAAAAAAAGACATAAGAATACTTGAGAAAGCGTCTTTCTCTTCTGCATCTTCTCATACTAATGCTAGAGTAGGAGTACGAATAATGAATAATAGATAGTTTGACTATCCTCAGCGAAGTCCGTACTTAACAAATAATAATCGACAAGGTACTCGGTTCCACAAACTGGCCTTCGCTACCACCGAAGACGTACAGTCCCAAAGTCCTGTTCAGCTGGCTAACGAGAATTTGGAATCATGTCGTTCGCCCAGAGGGGCAAGCAGAGCAGCCTGTCGGCGCCGAATCAGGATGGAAGGGTAGGACGGGCCATGTTACAGTACGGAGTAGGTTAATTTCATGTCCCGCCGACACTGGACGGTTGAAGTGGGTCAAGGATGGATCCGACAGACTGGATAGTTCAGCGGTAAACTCCGTTCATGACCAAGACAGTAAAACACTCGGTGTCAGGTGTCCTGCAACAATCGAACGGTATGGTAAAAAGTAATCTGCACAGAGCTCGAGAAGGTAATCAGATTAAATACGATCCAGCTACTTTTGAGAGTAAAACTGCTGACGCTGACACAGCGTGGATTACATAGAAACAAGACACCATCTGAAAGGGATGCATTGGAGTTCAGCCCACTCGGATAATAGAGGGATGACCCATGGATGCGAAATTCCAGCACAATGGCACCAGCAGCCATTGGATCACAGTCTTAGTTGAAGATCATCTTCCGTTTGTGCTACAAATTGCAGCTGTCTTACGACCTACTTACCTTAGCTTTGCTGATCTACTATTATTATTATTCTTAGTTACTCCATACTCTGTACGGTGAGAATTCGCCAGGCGCAGAGCTGGATTAATTAGTGGTATTGATCTTTCTTCACTAGAGGGGTACTTACTTCACTAATAATTAATAAAAATAAATACTGGGTTGGGTCTTTAGTCGAGTATCATTAACAACAAACAAAGTGTTTCTGAGTGTCCAGTGCTTACGTCCACCGGAAATGACAATTACTATGAGGCAACCCCACCAGCTGCTGGACCTAATTTGGCCCCTTTTCTCACGCTGTAGG